GTGGGGGGCACGGGGCTGGGGACATCCCGGTTGTCCCAGGGGGCTGGCGGTGGAGGTGCCAGCTCCCCTCACCCCTCCGTCTCGGGCAGTCCCTGGTGCTCAGGAGGCTCGAACGCCCCTGGGTTATCACAGCTATGGCGGGGGGGTTACAATTTAGGGCTAACGGGGGTTTTTGTGCAACAACTCCTCCGTACGTTGCGTATTCGAGGGTTGTTCCTCACCCTAAGTATATTTAGGAGGTGCTATTTTTTTAAAATCTCATGAGATTGAGCCGGGGGTGGCCCCCTGGTCACCGGCACTGCTGGAAGGGGGTGGATGCCCTCTGTGCTGCCCGGTCCCCCCAACCCCGTGGGGAGAAGGGCTGAGGGAGGGATGTGCTCGGTGTCACCGTGAGGAGCTGGGACGATGGGGGAAGTTACGCTAAGTAATTCCCCCCATCTCAGAGTGGAGCTGAGGTGGGCACAGCTGGCTGGACAGGGACCACTCCTGGTGTGCCACAGGGCAAACGTTCTGCCCTGAAAGAGGCTGGTGACGCCCTTCCCGCTGCCAAAACGGAGTCCTGTTAAACTGGGGAGGTTTGGGGCTGGTTTAAGACAACTTTCTTCATGCACTGGATCAGGACAGGGACAGTTGGGTGGCATCCGAGAAGCTGTGGCTCTCCGGAGAGGGTCACCTCCATCATTCCCATGACAGCCCCACACCCGGGAACGTCAGGACCACGGAGACCTGCTGAAACAGGTATCATCATCCGAGCATCCTCGCGAAGCTGAAGGCTCCAGGGATGGGGGTTGAGGTGTCCCCCCGCCGGGGTTTGCGGGGCGGCTGGGGCTGGAGGACACATCTCGCGGTGCAGGGGAGACGGCTGCCGGTGTGACATGCATCGCGAAGTGAGATGGGAGTGGGGAGAGCTCCCGGCACTGCCTTGAAATACCAGAGGCATCAGATGTGAATTTAGCAGCTCTTGACCTGATTTGGATGACATTTTAGCCTGCTTAGACAAATTATTGAAAGGACGAAAACAAACCCAACTCATCAGTGCTGCTGTGCCCCGTGTCAGCAGGCAGCGTGGGTGTTTTTACTTGTCGGGTCTTTGTCTCATAACTTCAGAGTTTATGGAAATTAAATGGATTTTTATTCCCACTTTGGGGTTTCCTTCTGTATAACGGTCACGCGGAGCCATCCTAGCGGGATGGGGGGTGGCAGAAGGGGGACCTGCGTGCAGTTGCGTCCTCTTGCTGTGGTCTTCTCCATCGTGTTCCCCACCTCTCTACAGCCCATTTAACATGGCAGGGCCAGACAGGCGCCTGAGCTGCTGTGGTTGCTCCCTAAACTGAGTTTTTTACTTTATTAGTAGCATTAACTTGCTGATAAATGAGTTTGCCAGGGAATATAGGGAGCAGCAAGAAAAAAAAAACCACACAAAAAGTCGAATTTGGAGCTGAGGTTTGTCCTTTCAGATAATGAAACTCCACTGCAGAACCAATGTCGAGAAAAGCTTTGGATTAGGGGAGAAGTGCACTTTTTTTTTCCCCGCAAACCCAACCAACCTTGATTTCTGCTGTTTGGCTGCTGCCAGGTTCACAGCCAGCATGCTGCGTGGTGTCTCACCTATTTCATGCTTCTCCCTTAGCTTTGGTTTTCTAATGGTGTGTATGTGGGGCTTGATGCTGCTGTGCTTGAACACAGACTTCTATCCACCAATGGGATATAATAATGTAAAATCATGTTTCAATTTATTTTTATAATCTTTTGCACCAAAAAAAAACCCCATGAAAACATTTTAGAGGTTGGGATGTGGGTCACTTCAAGCAGTAGTTTGTGAATTAAAGAAGTCTTCAGTTGGTTGACAAGAATGTTGCCAAGCTCAGAAAGTACTGGGCTGGAGGTCTTCTCTTCTTGCGTAGGTCAGCCTGGGTGCAGTCACTGCACCGTTTGGCCTGGTTTGGGAGGTGAGAACATCGAACCATTGAATGGTTTGGGTTGAAAGGGACCTTCAAAGAACATCTAATCGAACCCTCCTGCCTTGGGCAGGGACATCGTCCACGGATCAGGTTGCTCACAGCCCCATCCAACCTGACCTTCAACGCTTCCAACGATGGGGCATCCACAGCTTCTCTGCGCAATCTGGTCCAGGGTCTCACCACCCTCCTTGTGAAAAATTTCTCCCTTATGTCCAGTCTAAACCTACCCTCTTTCAGTTTAAAACCATTGCTCTGTCTTTCTTATTGAAAGGCCACAAGAAGATCTCCCTGAAGCCTTCTCTTCTCCAGGTTGAACAACCCCAACTCTCTCAGCCTTTCCTCATAGCAGAGGAGTTCCATCCATCAAACCATTTCTGTGTCCCTCCTCTGGACCTGCTCCAACAGGTCCATGTCTGTCTTGTGCTGGGGACCCCAGAGCTGGACGCAGTGCTCCAGGGGGGTCTCACCAGAGCGGAGTAGAGGGGGAGAATCCCCTCCGTGGACCTGCTGGTCACACTGCTTTGGATGCAGCCCAGGATATGGTTGGTTTTCTGGGCTGTGAGTGCCCATTGCTGGCTCATGTCCTATTTTTCACCCCTCAATACCCCCAAGTCCTTCTTTGCAGGGCTGCTCTCAATCCCTCGATCCCCAGTCTGCGTTGATACTGGGGATTGTGCCAACCCAGGTGCAGGACCTTGCACTTGGCCTTCTTGAACTTCATGAAGTTCACCTGGGCCCTGTTCTCCAGCCTGTCCAGGTCCCTCTGGATGGCATCCCTTCCCTCAAGCAAATCAGCTGCACTACTCACCTTCGTGTCATCTGCAAACTTGTCAAGGGGGCACTCAGTCCCACCATGTATGTCACTGATGAAGACATTTAATAGTATTGGTCCCAGTATAGACCCATTGACAACGTTTGTTACTGGTTTCCACTTGGACATTGAGCCATTGACTGTAACTCTGGACATGGCCATCCAGCTGATCCATCTAAGAGTCCATCCATCAAACCCATCTCTCTCCCATTTAGCAGCAGGAATGTTGTGTGGGACCGGATCGGAGGCCTTACAGAAGTCCAGGTAGATGACATCCGTAGCTATTCCCTTGTCCACCAATGCAGTCACTCCATCGTAGAAGGCCACGATGTCGTGTGGCACAATTTGCCCTTGGTGAAGCCGTGTTGGCTGTCTCTATAATCGCCTCCTTACCTTCCATATGTTTCAACGTGTCTTCCAGGAGGATCTGCTCCTTGATCTTACAGGGCACGGTGAGGTGCCTCTCCTGAAGGCAGGAGTGTTAGCAGTAAGGTAGTGGCAATAACTTACTTGCAGTGAGTGCTGGCTTTTTAAATAAAATTAATGGAATTTAAGCTGGTTTTGTTAAAACTAGCGCTTAGCAAAATCTTGAAGGTCATCAGCATCCTGGCTTTGGGATTGAACATGCCACTTCTCTGAAAGACACGCTGAAAAACCAAAAGCCTTTTGGAGGACACGTGGAGATGGGGAAGGGGCAGGGGCTGGGGTCAGCGACGTCACAAGCGGTGGGGCTGGATTTGGCCATGGCTTTTTGGCCAGATACCTTAAAGAGTGCTGTGGAGGACACAGAAGAGATGGAGACGCCCAAGAATGAAATCATAAGGCTGCATATTTCAGAGATACCGGCAGAATCGCCTTGGAGGGGAAGTGGGGACAGGGCAGGGATAAAAGCAGGCAGAAGAAGGACAAAGGAGCTACCAAATGGCTTCAAAACCTTGAGGACCACTGTTTCTTTGCACCATGTAGGTGCCATGAGCCCCTTCCCTGGCTACACAGCAAAGCAGAGAGATGGGCAGGCTCAAGCTCCATCTCCGGCTTTTGTGTAGCTTTGCTAATTAATTAGGTGCCTCGAGAAGGTGCCCAGGGAAGTCATGCCTTGGCATGAACCGGCAGCGCCATAGGGCTGCCGTGTCTCTTGGCTTGGTGCAACTGGCATCTGGGGTGACGGCATCCCTGGGGACAGGGTCAAAACCGCGGGAGCCGGAGGCTCAGCATCCAGCTGTTTCACCAGAGATGTTTTGCCCAGAAAAAGCCTTTCATCTTCAAAGCGGTTTGCAAATCATCACTAATTGCATCCGTGCAGGTGCCAGGAGGCAAACAAAGCTTAATTAGGGCATGCAGAAGGCTTAGATCCTCTCCAGATAGGCAAGCTTTGAGTTTCTCTTCCCTTCATGTGCAGCACCCCAGGGCAGAGAGCAGGTCTGGACTTCCATCCCACCGCCTCGCTGCCGGAGAGGGACCTGTCTGCAGGACCGTGGTGCGATACTGGTGCCTGGCTGGGCTGGGAGGTGGAGGTTTTTCAGCTGGTTGACTTCTCGCCTGTGGTTCTGGAGTGTGGATAGCAGCTCCATGTTCATGCATGCATCTCTGGAGCCGAGCAGAGGAGGAGGCATCAGTGCCCATGTGTAACCCGAACACCGAGCACCCCTGCTCGGCATTGATTTGGGAAATCAAAGCCTTTCTCTGTGCTCGCCCCCAGAGCATCATCCTGCCAGCTCCCCACTTCTCAAGGTCCCTTAGCATCCTCACGGCACCTGCAATGGTCCTTGCTTTCTGCCACAGCGATGTGGCCGCTCTGCCCAGGCCTGGCAGGCTTGACTTGGGATCACCCTGTCCCCAAAAACCCCATCCTCATCCCTGTCCCCAGTGACATACATCCCGGCACAGCGCCAGCGAGCGTAGAGCCAGCGTGGCATCAGCTCCTTCCCTGCTGGCCCAGGGACCCGTGGCTGTCACCTCCCCGTGGAGGTGACCTCACGCTGGGTGCAGTAGCCCCCCCAGGACTGAAGCGACCAGAAAGAGCCAAGCCTGTCATCATGCTGCCCGTGTTTATTTGGTCCCAGCCCTGCAGAGGTAGCATGTGGCATGAACGTGGGTCCACGCCATCTCCCACCTCCAGCCAGAGTCTCCCAGGGGTGTCGGGGTCCCTGAAGGGGTTCGGTCTGATCCCCATCGCCCCTCTTGCCCCGTGGGGGACAGGATGGAGGGGCTCATCCCCAACCAGGCTGCTAGTCCTTGGCCATGTCACGAGCCCGGTTGGTGGCCGCCTCCACGGCGTTCATGACGGTGGCCCGTAGCGCACCCTTCTCCAGCTGGTGCAGCGCGTGGATGGTGGTACCCCCGGGCGTGCAGACATCTCCTCGCAGCTTCGCCGGGTGCTCCCCCGACTCCAGCATCATCTTTGCTGCACCCTACAGGAGACCAGGGTGGGTCAGAGAGAAGGGGATCTCCCAAATCCCGTTCTCCTTGCCCAGGGATTGGATGGCGGCATCCTCCCATCGCCCACATCCCGTGGCGGAGGACGAGGTGCCAAAGCGTATCTCCCACCACCGTGCCCTTCGCTGTCTCCTGGTGGCCTCATCTTTGGTTTCAAGAGGGGAAACTGAGGCAAGAGGCCATCCAGTGCCTCCTCCCTCGCTCTGCCACCCTGCTGGGTGCTGCAGAGCTCAGGGCAGCAATGGAGATGGGGTGCCCGAGCCGGGTGGGAGCTGTGGGGCAGGAGAGAGAGGAGCAATGCCGGGTGTCCCCAAGTGACAGCACCGACTTACCAGCAGCGTCTGAGCCGCGATCCTGCTGGCTAAGCTGCCCGGCATGCCCATCTTCACCGCTCCCTCGGCCAAAGCTTCGGCAAACAGGTAGACCTGGGGGAGAAGAGCGTCGAGGGTGAGCACGGCAAAAGGTGGGACCCCAAGCCCCAGCTCCGCATGGGTGGGATTTCTGCCGGCATCCTGTGTCCCGCCGGTGAGCCGGTCAGTGCCCACCAAGCACGGGTGCTTACGTAGGCCACCCCGCTGCCGCTGAGGCCGGTGTGGATGTTGATGTAGGATTCGGGGACCTCCTCGCAGAGCCCGCAGGAGGACAGCAGGCTCTTCAGCAGGGCGGCTTCCTCGTCACTGGCACCACTGCCCCGGGCGAAGACCATCGCCCCTGCCTGCACCACACACGGCAGGTTGGGCATGAGCCGCAGCACCTTGGTCCCGGCGGGGAGAAGCTGAGGAGAGATGGGGATGGGAGGAGAGGGGACAGCTCCAGGCAGCACCCAAAGGTGCCCTGAGACACCGGTGGGTATCACCCATTGGGACTGTCGGAGAAGCGCGATCCATGGGGAAGGACCTGGGGATGCAACCCGAGTGGGGACAGAGCTACAGCAGCGTGTCCTTCTCCACGGGCCTGGGTGCAAATGGAAGGAGGAAGAGGAGGAGGAGAAGGAGAAGAAGGCTCACCCGCTGCAGTGTCTGGAGGGTGACGCCAGCCACCAGCGAGACAACGATGTGGTGGGATCCCACAGCGGGACGGATCTCCTGCAGGACGCCCGGCAGGATGTGGGGTTTGGTGGCCAGGAAGACCAGGGTGCTCTCCTGCAGCACCTCCAGGTTGCAGTGTGTGGTCCGGCAGCCCGACTCCTGCCAGCAGGCAGGGAGAGGTGTCACAGCCCAGCACCCCCCACCCCCGGCACCCCCCATGGGCAAGGCACATTTTCATGCAGGGACACAGCTTGGGGACCCATTCCGGCCACAAAGCCAGCGAGGCTTTGCCTGGATTTCACCCAGATGTGAGAAAGATGAGCCAAAGCCCTGCATGGGGGGAAAGGGTGCCCCAAAATCGTGACAAGAGATACCCCAACATACCTCCCGCTGCCGCGGCCACCGAGCGGGGTAGCTTGTCATCCCGCATCCCCACTTACCCGCCAGGCATCCAGGTTTTTGTCCGAGGGAGCGCTGGCCAGGATGCTGCTGGCTGGTACCTTCCCTTGGGGAACACGGGGACCGGGGTGAGCAGCTGGGGTGGCCCCAGGGTGGTGGGGACACCCCAGCGCAGCCCAGGCACCCTGATCTCAGCCGGGGTGTGCTCCTCTCCTCCAAACCCAGCCTGATCAGCCTGGGAGACATGGAGCAAAGGGGGCCGGAGCCGGATCCTGCCAGTCCAGCACAAATCCCTCATGGGTCAGCACGGACGGCTGTGGGCACCCCGTTGTGCCACAGTGCAGTGACAAGGGAGGTGACCCCAAAAGCAGGGACCATCTCCCAGCTTCTGAGTATGGTCAGGGCTGTCCCCACACTGTGCTATGGGGCAGGGACAACCAAGGACACCTGGGGAGGAGGGACAGGGCTGTGTCCCCGCTATCTGTGGAGCAGGGACCCCGAGGTGGGGGGCAGGACAGGGCTGTCCCCACATCTCCACAGTGATCTGTGCGACAGGGACCCCCATGGAGGGCAGGGACCCCAGGGAGGGGGACAGGACAGGGCTGTCCCCATGTCCCCACGTCTCTCTGTGGGGCAGGGACCCCCGGGCCGCCCCCCCCTTGCCCGTACCTGCCCGCAGCAGCCCCCGGGCCAGGCCGCCCGCCATCCGCCCGGCACCCACGAATCCCACCCGCAGCTCCGCCGCCTCCATCCCGCCGGCCGC